GAAAAATTCAATGAATTGTTATGAACATAGAAAAAATTTGCAATGAACGTCAGCGCGCGCTGTAATCATAATTTTGGCCCACCCTGTAATGAATAAAGGGAAAATCTGGAAGGGTCCTAATTGTAAATGAACTAGCTTTCAGTAAGACGGACCAGTTAAAAGTCAGAATTAAAGAGTCATTTTTTACAGAAACCTCGATTGAAATTTAGCCCAGAGGTTGTACCCGAAGAACTAGCATCTTGATTGATGACAGGGTATGACACCATCGCCAATAACTCTGCACCGCATCAGGGTTGACGAATAGCAAGATGTCCTATGCCCTGCCAATATGGAACCCAGAATTGAAGCAGAGTAATTTTGATATCCATCGATAGCAGTATGTGGACAAGGAGATTCAACCATCCAATGTCCCGAACCCCACACAGTGGAGGTAAAAGTTCTTTGGAGCTATCTCAACTATCAGTCGCTGACTACGCAAGTAGTAGAATCGCCTGAGTAGAACGATTATAAAACACGATAAATAGCAAGTCAATCGTGAGAATAAATTTTCATTCCCAGATCGAATACTATTTCCAATAATTTCCCCACAACGACTTTTTGCATATCACAATCAATGTCCGGGTGGGGGATAGATCCGGGTAGGATAATTTTGAAATGAAATTTGAGAAATAAAGCGTATACAATATGAGAGACATCGATTCTTCAAATATGATAATGACGATGATGATGAAGATGAATGAACGGATGTAGGAAATCAAGAAAGATTCAGGAAAACCAGAAAGAATACAGGGGCCAACGAGTCTTTTAAACCTTACACATAAAAATACGAATGTTCATCAAATGAACGCGAATCGTACATATGTGACCCGTCAGGTCAGGGCGGGGCGGTCGGGGAAGTTGCGTTACAAATGGCACGCGCGATCCATTTCACCATAACTCGTCCAGTGCCGCGCGCGGCAAGCCGCGATTTGTGAGACGCCGCGCGATGACCTGGTGATTCACATTTGAATCGTATGGCACAGCCTTTTACATAAGCAATATTTACCCTAGGACAGTTTAAATCGATTATTCATTTCATCTCGCTTTTCTCAGACTTCTCCTCATCATCTTCAATCAATACATATACGCGTAATGACTCCACGTCAAATCTAATAATATTCACAAAAACTTTTACAATACTCAAAATAATCTATCTATAACACATATTAAATATGTTAATAGAGCACGAATGAACTTCGATGAAACAATCAATACGCAATAATCGATTAGGAATGAATAGATTAAACCGTAATAGAGGACCCGTAGAAAAAATATGATGGACATTCTGCCGACCGACCGATCGACCGGCCCATCGACGACACGACTGCACAAATACGTAGATCAAACTGGTCAATGAGAGCTTGTGAAATCAACGATTGATATGAAGTTATGGTTAAGACGAGGCTGTTGTCCTTGAGCGTCAACGACGGCTACTCATCGAAGGCAATTTACCTGAAACAGGCAGTAAGAGCTCTAGGAATAAAACGTTTCTCCAACGAACTTATGTAATTCCACTTGGCTGCGCTTAAATGTTCCGAGATACAAAGCGAAGATTTTGATATTTTTACTGACATGAAGCTGCGACCCCTAATCATAGCATACCGGCCGCTAGAGCTCGAAGATTGTCATCACTGCATACTGCATCTTACAATTAGAAGGGGCTCCACCGTTCACACTGGAGCACATATCTTGAAAAGTCAAACAGCGGAGTCATCGAGGACCCGAATCTCGACGCACAGAAGCAGTATATGGTAACTCCTAGCATTTCTGCAAATGTAGCCAGCACTTCATGCACCTGTACGACAAGGAAGTTTCGCCTCTTCCATGTCACCTCCGTCGTCATAATCTCCCACAATCGCCCAGCTTTTTAGAGCCTTATGTTATCTTATTCCAAGAATTTTCGCGTTTTTACGGCTGAAAAGGCTTTGTTCTGCATCACCAATAACCTTACTTAATTTAAACTAAGTGATGCGCAATATCGTGCAATAGCTTAAAATATAGCGAATGGCGCTTTCATTTGCAGAGTCACCTATCTACCTCCTCCGGGCTTTCCGGCCGGTACAAAAAGACCTTCTTAGTAGTCCCTACGACAAGAATCATGGTATAAACTTGAAAACTTGCTGTGACCTACCTTCTTCTGTTGACTCTTCCGTTGTCGGACTCGTTCAACAACCTGTTCCTCTAATTCTTCATCTCTAAGGTAATCGAGACCGAGGACGGGACGATTTCCTCGCTCCACAAGAATTTCGTCCAATGCAGCCCAACACTGTCGATTCAGAGAAATGGCCTCAAACGTAGATTGACCTTCTGGTACAACTTTCGCTACCATTCTGAAATTGATGACATACTATAAATTAGACACTGATTACTTTGCTGGGTAGATAGGCATGCCAAAAATGATTCGATCATCTACAATTGCACGTTCGCTCTCCATGTTTCTCTCAATTAGAAACTTGAAGCTCGATATGATAGCGATTTTTGCCGTTGCACAATTGCAACTATTTTCCAAAAAAAAAAAAACTCTAACCTAATAAAAGTATTCCTGAAAGTGAAAACTTCCCCTTCCAAACTATTCCAAATCCCGAACTTTTTTCACTGAAAAGTATTTTATGAATAATAATGAAAATACACACTCAAACACAGGCAGCGCAACGGTGTCCATAAAGTCGAGTTGAATTTTCGGCACCGCCGCACGATCCCTATCCATCATTTCCATCGGGCTGGCACCCATCTGTTTCTCGAGATCCCCTTGTGAAAAGAATTCGCGGTAGATGTTCTCCTGGAACAAATACGTTTTTCAAAGGTTTGGTCCGTTATGTGAACAGATCGCTAAGAAGCTCACGGCGATTGCTTTCGAATTACGGAAATCCTTGGATTGATCCGATAGATCGCTCGACGTCATCAAAAGACACATGAATAAATAATGATGATCCCGAGACAGTGGATCATACCCTTCTGAAAAACACGGGGATCAAGAACAACTAAAAAATTTAAACAGTAGAATAAACAGGTGAAGGATGAAACGACAAAAATAAAACGCACGATCAACCATCGCCTTGATACGACCGACTTTCCCTAGATGTACAGCAATATCCGTGGCAAGGATCACGTCTCGTATATGACTCAACACTGTTTGGTATTGCGTACGTGTCAGGTTATGCAGGATGTTACACTCGGACATCTGGAACAACTACTCTAGTCCACCAGATGAGTCAACCGTGACTAATGCACAAGGTATAGGCACAAGGTATACGTTTCCAAACGGATTATGAACGCACCTGTAGGATTTGCACCGTCTGGGCATAGTGGTGTCTCTCGAGCACACTACCCTCACTGCTGTACAGTTGTGCGAGTGGGGTTTTCTGAAAAAAAAGAACTGATT